TGCCAAGTTCTTGCAGTGACGTTGCGAGATGAACCGCCTCAGATAGAAGCGACTAGCTCTGGCCGCTGAGGACGCGAATGGTGAGGATGAGCGCTGAAAAAGGTGACACAGATATACGCCGTGGAAATGAAGGCTTGGTTTCAACGCCACCACATACAGAAGTGGAATGTGCTCATTGGTGGGTTGGAAAACGATCGTTTTTGGCAAATATTTACCAGATCAATACAGTTACGTGAATAGTTGAATTTTCTGTGCATTACAACGCCCGCTCCGCTGAGGATTAAGACCGATAACCGGAGAGAAATCCGTTCGGAATTAATGGGATAATGGATAAGGGTCACGAGATACGAAGAATGATTAATTTATGGAGAGGATGCTACGGACGGAATGGCTTGCACAATGTGCGGAAGCTAGTCAGACCGCTTCACGGTTGCGGATCAACAGAGACAGAATATGACGGAGTGACAAATCCCGCCGAGGGTGGCATACACCAAATTATCCTCAGGGTTCCGAGGTTGAGGCATGGTTCCGAGTAACTACGACAAGCAGGCTCGAATCAATCATTTTGGCTCCCCTCGCCAGCGTCGATAACACTTCGCAAAGACAAAATAATCGAACCGACAGGAGTGGATCGGACGAGTTAGGTAACCGAAAAACAAGGCAGTAGGTCTGACTGGGCCAATGACTATACAAGTTTTGGCAATGAAAGCAATGTGAACTGTTGGTCAGTCAACATACAATGGTGGTGCATGTTCGGATCTTACATCCAAATTCCGGCAAAGGACTCTTGTGAGGCCGGAAACGCGGAGAGAGAAGCCAGAGAAACGGCGGCAACATACGCAAAGCTCGAGGTAGGAGGGCTACTTTTCTGCATATGAAGTGCAACTAGAAAGTCGGGAGTGTGCCGCTTCTACCTATTCCCAATATTCCACAATTAAGTGTTGACTTTCAATAACCAAAAAGGCCCTCACTCAGCTCACTGGCAGCAGACCGCGAGCTCAGCTCGCTACGATAAGAACATTTTTACAACGCAGAGTAGAAAGAGGGGGTGGTGACTCGGTGTTGGTGAGGATGTAGCCGAACGCCCACTTGAAGAGCAAAGTGCTGGCAAAGACATTACACCCCCCTCCGTCATGAATTTTTGATGCGCAGTTGGTGCAGCGCCGAGCACAAAAGAGCGCGAGAACAGACTCCCCACAACGTAATTGCTATTAGATGAGCACGCACACATTTTAGGGAAGGAGGGAGGGAGAGAGAGAGCACGAAGCTTAAAAAAGAACTTGTGCGTGACTATCGTGGGCAACAGACTTGCGCCCGAAACCAAAATGTGGAATGAAAAATCCGTCTCTCTACACCTTCCACATAGGGTAAAAAGGACTGGAGGCATTTCACGAAAGCGTAATGTTAGAAAGGCCATAATGACTTTTTCGGAAAAATGGACGTTTAGAAGGCAACGTTCTTTTAGGACAGGGTTCAGACAGAGTCGCTGTGGTGGAACTCGTCTGTATCGTATACTACCTTTGGCTGATTGACAGGTGTCGAGACGATGGAAATTAGTCCAGAGGACTTAAACGATTCCCGGCAAAAGAGCTTTAAACATGAACTCTTCCATGAACAAAAAAGATCTAACGGGAGGCAGACATTTTCAAGTTTATACCTTTCCTGAATTTAACAGTCAATCAATTTAAGAAGCTAGAGACCAGACAGGACTTACTAAAACTAATATGATAGGTCAATGATCAAGGACAAAGAGGAGTGCAAAGAGAGAGCACTTTTGAGGTGAGATTGGCGGCAGCGAATACTTGCAATTACGAGGACAAGGATGCAAAGTCACGAGGAAAGGTAATCCCCACACGTAATCTGGTGCCACGCCTAAGTGCCAGGAGGAAACACTCTTTTGTTTAAACTATCTACTTCTATTCTGGAGTCTGTCACACAGGTTGCCACATAGGCAAACCGAACGTTCTTTCTGAGTGACTGGTCGGACGCAACAGTGTTGGCTACATTGAGTAAATGATGGCAGTTAATAGTGCTTCTGTCCGTATGTGTGACTTGTGTTGTGCGAATGCGTTCGCTAACTACGGTAACAAATTGATTTCCTCGAGAGTTAGAACTTTATGCTCTCCCATCGCCGATCTAATGGGCTCTGAAATCGATTACGAATGCCCTAGAGAAAGTGATTGTGGCTGCTTTAAGTAACTTTCTTCCTGGGGCTTTCAGATTGGCCAATAGTTGGGATATCCCAGCCTGCGTGTAGAGGATGCGTGTGTTGCTGATCAGGAGTCTACGACTGCATGATGATTCTTTTGGATCCGAACAGAAAACATCGCAGATCAGAAGCGAGCCGGACGCTAAGTCAGTCCGAGTCAATGAGTTCCAGACAATGTGAGGGTTGCCATCGAATGCTTTAACGCAGGGCTATAAAAAGGCAAAAAGTGGTGTGCCCAGCTAATGCCATAAAAAGCTACTAATGGCGTTATTGAAGACAAAATAATACAGGTCAATAGTTTGATGACTTCTCAAGGCAGTTATTTTAAGGTCCTATGAGTGTTCTGATTATTACTGAGTTGAATCTGACAACTCAAGTTCGAAAATATAGGCAACCCAGGAAGGAAAAAAAGCGAGGATGGTGTTGGAAAGGCGTTCTGAGAGTGGACAGTGCCTGTGGAGTAAGAGAACAGTTAAATGAAAAAAATTACGTAAGGTAGGGGGACAACAAGACGTCAAGCTGTCATGAGATGTGTGCTTAAGACAGAGGTCACCCATCTCGAGTCGAGGGACACTTGGCATCTGTCATAGTCAAGTGCCCCTGCAAAATTGTTAGGGTGGATTTCACTGACAAGGTAGCGAAGTTTGCCAGGAGTGCCACAAATAACACAGAAACAGCCAAGGCTCGAATGTCACACCCCAAAAAACTCGAACCCGTGAGGGGTATTTTCACTTAAATGGTTGTGTATTTGCCGATCTATCAGGCCTTGCTTGTTTCTCGAATGGGACCTCTGCCGTCGCGCCGCCACGATGCAGCAATTATAGGCGATTGGCCCAGGTCGACCTCTTTATCATCTTAATTTATGAGGTGCCGTTAGAGCTATGGCAGCGCGGAGTTCACGGGGTGGCGGCATCGGACGTCTCCAAACAACCTCGGCAGTCTGTTTGATCCAATTGTGAAAGACTCGGGCGGCCTCGGTGGAATTGGTACCCACAATGGCGAGGACAAAGCTTGAGAACAGCCAAGCAAGAATCTGAAACGTCAGACGAATCAGGCTTTTGTCTCAGCAATCGTGCCTCCTTTTCAGGATTGCTTCCCGGGACTCGTCTCTTGGCTTCCATTGGCGAACAGCCAACACTCTAATCACCTGAGCTACCACGCCCCACCGGGAGCGGTGCGTTTGACTACAGCTGGTCAAGGGAGGGAGCCGATCTCGCAGGTTATGACAGCTTGACACTGGCAGGGCGATATCATCAACAGAGTTGAGGTTGGCCAGCTGGTGTCGTGGTATAAGGTTGACGGCCAAAATCCCACAGGACTTCAATCAATGTCAAAGGTAAATGGGATGATTGGCGAAATACATACTTCTCAGGCGCAGAACCGAATATCGAGCAGTCACGCAAGGGTTCTGCAAACAAGAATAAGAGCTTTGGTAAAGAGATAGCAGGCAAAAGCATTTGCCGGCACTCCGCCAAGTTCCATTATCAGCCGCAGTTGCTGACGGTGAGGCCAAATAAATGTCACGGCAAAGTTAAACAAAGCAAGCGGAAATCAACTGCTGGTAACCAGTGTAAAATGGAGATAAGCCACAGAACGACTATTTAGTGTGCCTGCATTCGGCCTGGAACCCGAATTTTTCCTTTGGAAACCGCATGAAAGTCACGATGTCAGAGTTGGCAGCCACAGTTGTTCTCGGGCCTTGCCTTATCTCTTTTCGCTCTCACAGGCGCAGGAATAGCCGGCTTTCAATCAGTAGTTACGAACTCATCTCTCCAATCTATCTCCACTTCTAACACATGGTTAGAGTCAGTGAAAATCTATCCCAACACCTCTGTATCATCTTCAGCACGGCCCATGAAAGGCCTCCACTTGTAAACCAATCTGGTGTGGATGCGAATTGTCTGAAAAACCCCTGAACCCCAATACCGCCTGAGCAGTGTTCGTTCGAGGCCGAAAATAAGTAACTCAAAAAGCAATCTAAGTGGACAGCCAAAAAAGAACTCACCTTAAAGAGGGTCAATAGGGCGATGCCACTGACTATGCAGGTCAGCCCGACGGCATTTCCGATGTAGTCCAGTGGTGTGAGAGTATTGCCCTCCTTGAAGAGGATAGCCGAGGCGATTAGAACAAATGCGGTAAAGAAGACGTAGAGCAGAGGTGTGACGACACTTGTGTTGAAGATATCCAATGCACGATTTAGATAGTTGAGTTGAACCGACAGGCAGAAGGTTAGGCTCAGCAGAAAGAACCAAAAGACCCACTGTGTGCAGATTGTTAGAATGCCGTGTTCAACAGCTTCCTGGGAAGAAAGTTGCACGCGGTTAAAGACATAGAAGAGGAAAAACACTAGAGTGAAATACCTTGCTAATAAGTGTCAACGTGGGTACCCGTGTACATCTATTCAAAATAAACGCGAATTTCCGCCAACATTAAGTCAAGTCTTCCTAAAGTTGGACTGAAATGTCGGTGAGAGGAAAGATGAGTTCGACAGGGGGCTACAGACGTAAAATAATGAGAGCCCTTGACTGTCTACCACTTATCCACGGAGGGTGCAACCTAGCGACAAAATATGAGATCAAAAGGGCCTATGCCAAGAGGCAAAACGACTTGGGTGGTTTGCCGAGTCCCACCTAACTCGTGAAAGGCCAGTTACGTTAGACACATTAACGAGTGACTAGAAACAAGCAGGTACACGCAGTTCAAGACAACGGGGAAAGTAGATCGATGTTCTGGGATGGTGTGACACTTAGAAGGATCCGGGCATGCCATTATTCTGCGAGGTGGTGAAGGCAAGCATCAAGCGAATAGTTTTATGACGAGCAGACGATTCCACTATTGATTGACAACTGCGAGGCCCTCTCAGCCGCACACCAGAGGCTGGGGCTGAACCAGAGTAGTATAATTTGAGGGGAAATGGGCGAAGGGATAAAAAACATAAGTGACACTGATTATGCGGGCGCCGTCCGAACCGTCGACCGGTGACGATGCAAACGGCTGGCCAGCGCTATATAATATCGTTAGTACTGTTTTCTGAGGCTAGACTTGTGCCTGATCTCACAAGGTTTGACTCCCGGACATCTGATTCCTGCAGGTCCAACAACCGAAATGCGAAGGGGAAGACGCAAAATTGGTCATGTTTTGGGGCGATACGTCTGTGTAGACGCGAATATAGTTTACGAAATAGCGCGAATAAAACTAAACGGAAACACCGAAGTAAACTACGAGAAAGGCAATCGAACTGTGTACATTGGGCGGCAGCAGATTGATTGCTTAACAACCACAAACCAACCACAGCAGGTCTTCCGTAACCCACCAAAGCTCATTACACTTAGGCAAAGCAGGATCTCAGACGATGATGCGATCATTGAATGCAATAGGGAAAAACGAACAAAAAAGTTAATCTCGATCGAGGGAGCGAACAAGTTCCTTCAAAATGAGAAGTTGGCAATAGGAAACGGAGAAGGATTGGAATCCGGTGAAAAACCGTCTTTTAGATGGGAAATAAAATAACAGTAGGTGAACGCAAGGAAGCGCATATGAGAGGCGTGGACTTCTAAACCAACAGGTCGCGAGTGCGAGGCTCGGGTGTTCCACACTTCGGGCTTGGGTATGGCTGACTGACGACGGCTAATAAGCCAGAAATGACCATTCCAGTCTCCCTGGTCTTTGTCGGTAATACCATTCTGCCTATATATCATGCGCCGCTGTGCGGCTGCTGGTTGGACTCGAGAGAGAGCCCTTAAGGCACAACGGAACGAGTGAGTTCCGTATGAACGATCGGTGAGCGCCCCCTACCATTATATATATATATATATATATATATATATGGCTCAATGGTAGAGCGTCAAACTCCATAACCAAAGATCCCGGGTTCGAATCTCAAGTGATCCACACTTGGGGTTGGGTATGACTGGCTGATGACGGCTAATAAGCCAGAAATGGCCATTCCAGTCTCCCTTGTCTTTGTCGGTATCACCTTATCAACATATATTATTAGTTGCTGTGCGACGAAGAAGTTTGCTTATTGTGCAGACTTTTGTGGCTGCCTCCTAGCTCGTCGCCAGAAATAAGGGCAACAGCTAACTTTTTAACCGTGTCTTAAAAACATGGCTAAAGATTGCGTCAGTGCACTCTCTTTGCATCCTGTCGCCCAGACTGGATTGACTATGCGTGTCCCCACTTGCCATTGGGAATTTTGTACACGGTATCTAAATCAGCAGTCTATTAATGCATATCTCATCTGGGTGCACTGCCTCCAGGACTGTGCGGTCTTCTTCGTCTGGTAGGTGCCGATGTTTGGGGTTTTCCCCCATGCAAATGCGTGGCGCCTGTCCAGTGTGTGCATGAACAGCTGGGATATATGATCTCGATTTCTCACCACCAGCTGGTGTTCATGTATGTGACTGGAGGCGCTGCCCACTAGGTATAAGTTCATACCCTGCCGGCTGCGACTGAGCGTAGTCGTATCACGCGGTAGTATTCCTTATTGATGTGGTCCGCTGCCTGAACAAAGTGCAGTCGCTGCGTTGCATACTGGAGCCAAGATTAGCGCCCTCGCAGGCGGCGTCATTGCGAGTAGCAATTAACACTCCGCATGCGTTGAGGCATACACGACTCGTCAGTCGGCATCGTCAGACACGGGACCCGGAACAGGTTTCAAGTAATAAAAATTAACCGCTGGTGGCCTCGACTTCCTCTTAGCAAAGCGCCAACATCAACGGGGGGATGCAGAAGACGTAATGAGGTCTTGCAAGGTTTGTGCCGACAGGTGCAAATGCAGTGACGTCCCACCCGAGAGACCTGGAATGAACAAAACAACACTAGAAAGATGTCTGTCTGCCTAGAAACGACGTTGGCTCGGTGCTAATCATATTTAAGGCGCAAAACAAGGTCGCCAAAACCAGTTTCAGAGGAGACCGAAAGGACCGATGTCCACCACGATCCTCCTCAGCTTGAAAGAATTAGGGGCGGGAGGGGAGGGAAAGGAAAGAAGGGCAAAATGTGCAGGTTACATGATATCGCCATGCAGAAAATAGGCTGAGCGCAAAGCGGCATCACTCTGGGAGGCAGTGGACAGGTGGCGGGAGACAGGTAAGAAGAAAAAAAATGGCAGGCTTGAAGAACACTCACTTTGATACCCAGGCCAATGCCTTTGCAGGCCATCACTGAAAGGGAACCGATGCTGCCACTGATGAAGACAAAGACGAGGGGGTTCCGCTGGCCAAAACGCGGCGCAATCAGGAAAATCGATATGATGGCCGCCACGATAATAATTGAGGTGTAGATGAGAAAACCTAAGTGCAGGAATCGGAAGTACACCAGAATAGTTCTATTATCAAAGGCTGATTGGGCAACGACGAATGCGCTGTGGTTCTCGCCTGATTAAGCAGTTTAGAAGTACGATGCAAAAACTGGCTTGAGAAGGACCACTTCATGAGGGAGACTTGGAATTTCAGATCGTTTGTTTGCCCAGACAAAGAATCTCTGCCTAAATCTCAGCAAAACCACCCCTGCTTAGACCAGTCTCTTGATCGACCCTACACTCAGTTGCAAGCCCATCCACTTAGCGTACATGTATCTGGGTTAATTTCAATAATTAAATCGAGGACATAAAGAGCAAATGTTTCCCAAATAAACAATCGGCAGGTCAAATTTGTGGAGTTGTAGGACTACTGAAAACTAGGGTTAAGCGTGTTGTAAAAAGTGGTAACGGGTTGCGAGCATAAAAAAGCGAAAATGAATTTTCAATCCGAAGCAAAAGAGTAGTGAATGTCCACGGAAGCACGAAAGACCGGAAGCCAAAAATTGCCAATAATAGCATCCAAACAACCCGTGAGATTTGTATAGAGTATTCAGACGCACAGTTGTGCTACGCCGCTTTTGCTGCAGGCCCCCTCTACGGTCACATTGGCTGATGATATACGTTAGTTGAACTGCATTGAGTCTGGATGAGTTCATAACTGTGTGGCCTTTATGGCACCTCGCTCCTGTGAGACCGGAGACTCCCTTGAAGCCTGGCTTTTGTGTAGTAGGAATAAGTACGTGTGACACAAAGGAAGGCCATTCTGGTTTGTCAGTCGATGTACCCCACGGGCATCAACAGGGGCATGGTGGTTGAGGGAAGGGGGATAGAGGCAGAGGTTTCGCAAGTCTACTTCACTACTAACATATTAATGGCCAAACTGCTACTGCGTCGACCTCGTGGAACAGTGGTGGACTTGTGCTGGTCAAAGTATCGAATACTCGATAAGGCTGAGAAAGAACTCGAGGTCGAAAATCCAAAAAAGACTCACACGAAAATACCAAGCTATGGCGATAACCGGATGCAGGGTGTGCTCTGCATGGCAGGTAGTCCAAAGTCTGCAAAGTTGGGTCAACAGTCACGTTAGTGTTATGAACCAGGAGGACGGTAAGCGGTTGACAATCACCTCGAAGCTAGCCACAAAAGCTGCACGGGAGACGCTGTATGAAGGTGTCGAAAAACTTGTCTGTGCTGAATAAACTGAGATCAGTTCTGATGCCTTACCCAGCTTCCCTTCCTTCGAAAACTGATTTACAAATAAACGTCTATCACTGCCTACAGACGGGAATCCTTTAAACTGTCCTGTCTACACAACCTACAGAAGGCGCGAAAATTCACGAAATCAATTAACATACCCTCAAATAGAAGATATTCCTTAAGTAGGGATGCAGTACTGACGAACAGAAAACGTTATCACGCATGATGACGAGCAAACTTTCGAGTGAAGACTGCCAGGTATGGGTGCTCACCTTGTTCCCGAAAATTTCGCCAAGTTTCGATTCTTACGTAGGTTTAAATATTTGAGGCGAATTGTCGATAAAGAATAGGGACACTGGGACGGCCGCTTATGACTACGCTGCCGTCATCAAACAGGGATAAACAAACACCGGATGCCGGTGCAACTCTGGGTCATAGGACATTTCAAAATCAAATTTTTTAGACTCAAGCTGCAGGAATGATACCGGAAATCGACTGACACACGACGGCGTTAAGCGGTCCATTTTGCTTGCCAAATGGAAACGAGTATTTTCGCTCTGTAGTCAGGATAAGTCGATGAAGGGCACTGGTGCACATTTTAAAAAATTCGGTGTTTTGAAAGCTCAGTAGTTCAGGTAACTTTTGCTAAACAATCTTAACTTTTACATACTCTTATGATTTGCTACATAGTTAGCTTGACCTTTCATTTTAATTTCGCTAGTTTTTGTGCTCTTATGTGACAGAGCACTCAAATGATACTGATATTGATCTGAAAGGGCGGGTATACTT